CCCCCCTCCCACCAATACGCCCGCCCACCTGATATCTGAGGACATAGGTCCTGAACCCCTCTCTGCCCGTCAGAGGTGACCGCACTTTGAACCCCTCATTGAACCCTGACAGCTCGCAGAAGCAGCGGCACACGGCGTCCACCGCCCCATGCGACTGGATGAGCTGCTCGGCGGCGTCTTGGAAGGCGTTGAGGATGTTTGGTGGGATGTCGTCGGCCATGACGTCCTCGAGCACAGCACTGGCCGTGGCGCGGAGGAGCTCCTCTGGCTGGGGCACTCCCACTCGCTGGAACTTGCACCCTGATGGATCATTGCGAGGCAGATTGACAGGGTGGATGAGTGCGTTTGTTACCTGTCTTCTTCTCGATGGCTGAGAGGTACGGGGCGTCGTTGCGGTTGCAAAACACTGACAGGGGGAGGGGACACCAGCCAATGTGTGTGTGCGTGTGCGCGTGTCGGAGCGTTTGTGTGGCTGTCATGGTGGCTTGCTTACTGAGTGCGATGCCTTTCTTGTTTGCCCTGCCGGTGCGGCCAACCCGATGGACGTAGGTGTCGATGTCGCGGGGGGGAGACAGCTGAACCACCTGCACATAACAAACGACACAAGCAAGGAGATAGATGCATTGAGAGTCGTAGCTGGAGGCTGGCTGTCTGTCATATTGCTGCTCACGAGTTCCACATCGTCGATGTGCAGGCCGCGAGCAGCCACATCCGTTGCCACCAAACACCGGAACCGACCATCCCTACTCGAAAGCACACACACACAGAGAGAGAGAGAGAGAGCGACAGCGAGAAAGAGCAGTGGTCGCATGGACGTACAATGCCCCTGTCTCTGTCCCCCTCCCCCTCCCTGTGTGCCTCTCACGGACTTGAATGCCTTGAGCGTGACTTCCCTCTGCGACTGCGGTATGTCCCCATGCAGCGCCTGGCAGTTGTCTTTGATCGAGGAGCTCAGGGCGATCTCGTTGGCCTGCGCCTTGGTCTCGGTGAAGACGATGCACCGCCCGTGCAGCCCCGCGTAGATGGTCAGGACGTCTCCCAGGGTAGGCGCACGGGCGTGGTAGCCGCACACCATCGCCAGGTGCTGCACACTGTGGGAGGTCTTGACCTTCTCGCTCTTTGTCACGTCCACTGTTTCACGCTGCATCCATCATACATACGTTCACACATCGGAACATCCAGTGAGTGGTTGGTGTCTCATCGACTGGTTGATTGCGGGGGTACGTCGGGTTTCATGAAGCGCTGGGCGATGGAGTGCACCCACGAGGGCAGCGTGGCGCTGAATAGCGCCATCTGGAGGTTCTTGATCGGACCACTGATCGACAAACACAAACACATCAACATACACACACACACACACACGTGGTCCTCCCGCAGCCCTCCCTGAGTGGCTCACGTACGTGACATCTGTCGTGGCAGCGGTGTCGGCCTCGTCCCCCCCTATAGGGGTGGCACGCTCGCGGGCGATGTGAGCTGGCACAAGGGAGGGAAGAAACATCGATAGCTCACAGTCGATTCATGATTTGCTTTTCGGCGTTGGTCACCGAATATCTTCTCCACATCTTCCTGAAAGTTGTTCTGCAGCATCTGGTCGGCCTGCAACACGCGAGCACCCGGCATGGCGAGCAAAACAAGAGGCCAGATGGTTGTCCTCTGGCTCCGCATTCGTTGTGTGTCTGTCTGTCTGTCTCACCTCATCCAGAATGAAGGCCCGCAGCTTCTCAACCTGACGAGAAGACCACACGCACCGCATATGACGCAGTCTATGCTGTGGCTGCCCGGATGTCTGTCTGTGAACGTGTCGGTCACCTTCAGAGCTTTTCTTTCCAACATGTCGATGATCCTGCCTGGCGTGCCCACCACCACATCCACACCCTTCTGCAGGGCCTGCACCTGACCATAAATGCCATTCCACACACACACCGACAGGTCAGTTGCCGTCCATCGATCCCTCCCTCCCTCCCTCCCTCTCTCCTTACTTGTGGTAACTCCGGCGCGCCGCCATACACACACAGCGTCGCATACCTAGAGAGAGAAACGGACAGACACTCAGACAGGTCTTCGTGTGTGTGTATTGCCCACGTTTAGCGCAGCGCACCTGTCGTGTGCGAGGGCTTCGAACTCCTTGGCCACCTGGATGCTCAGCTCACGCGTCGGCAGCAACACCAGCACCAACGGAACTCGCCTTCAACACACATACACCACATGACACACACGCACACAAATCAGTCGACGCCTACGCGCGTCGATTGGGTCACTCGACTCACTTCTTGGCGTGTGGCTTAATGAGGCCTTTGGCAAGGAGCCGCTCGATGATGGGCAGCGAAAAGGCCAATGTCTGACAGACAGACAGACAGACAGACAGGCAGACAGACAGACAGATAGACAGACAGAAAGACAGAGAGATGCGTGGATGCCCCTCCCCTCCCCTCCCCTGTGCACATGATGTGTGTCGGAGGCGCACCTTGCCTTGTCCCGTCCGCGCCCGGCCGATGAGGTCGTGCTTGTCGTACAAAAGGTCAAAACTCATCCACTGGATGGGGAAGAACTCACTGATGCCCCGCTCGGCCAAAGAAGACAGACTCTCCGCACTCACCTGACACCCGGCAGGAACAACCATACCATGCATACCCAATCCCTATTCACACACCGCACCGCATGCGTGTGTGTGTTTGCCAACTCGCCCGCTCTCACCCGATAGTCAGCGATGATCTTTGATAGACCACCACCACCACCTTCACCAGCCGCAGCAGAGCTCGGCGCGGCCGCAGCAGAGTCCTCCTCCAGGCCATTCGTCAAGATGATCTCCCCAGCTTCTTCCTCGTGCTTCCTCCGTTTCTTCTTGCCGTCCACCCCCTCCCTGTCACCGCGCTTCGCCTTGCTCATCTTTGCGTCAGATCTCCCTCAAATTTGAGCTCGCACGATCGGTGCGAGCTGTCAAGTTTTTTGAAAGAAACGAGGCGAAAGGATGATGTCAGGCTGCAGCGGTGGTGAAGGGCACCAAGCGTTGCCCATCGGCAGCAGCTCTTCCAGCTCTTCCTCCTCCGAACCAGTGCCGCCTCCACGGTTCTCGCCCCTGCACAGCCCCGCCCTGCCGCACAGTCTGAGCAGAGAGCCGTCCGCACCAGCGCCAAGGGCCAAGGAGCCCAAGCAGCCAAATGAGGCCGACCACGCACAGCCCGCCCTCTCGCCACCCTCAGCAAACCACCCTCTCCCCTCCAGTGAGCCCTCCCCGTGCGCTTCGGCGGCCTCTGCTGCATTCGCCACGCCGTCCGACGGCAGCACGCCCCAGTCAGCTCGGTTGCCGGCCGAGGAGATGGAGTTCGGCGATACGGACTCCCGTGACCTGATATTGATGGCCGGTGGGGACAACGGCGTGCGGGAGTGCCATTTCCACGTGCATCTGGCGGTGCTGACGTCGAATGTGCCTTGGTTCCGGGATGCGTTCAACGCGGGGATGCGCGAGATGGCGACCTCCAAGTTCCACTTCCCGGAGGACCACCCGGAGAGCTGGAAGATACTGCTGAGGCGGTTCTACCCCCCACACCTGAAACTCGCCGTAAGCAAGCAGCTCACTGGCCCGCTTCATGCCTTCATGATGTATGTGTGTGTGTGCATATCTCTCTCTCTCTCTCTCTCTGTGTGTGTGTGTGTGATGTGTGGGAGTAGGAGTCGATAACGGAGGAGACGGACCCTGAGCACATCCGTGGTCTGCTGGTGCTGGTCGACAAGTACGACATTCAGTGGATCAGGTCGGAGCTACTCGACATACTCAGGACAGAGTGGTCCGTCAGGACTTTCGGCGTCGCGGACGACCTCGCCAGGTCAGTCAGTGAGCAGACAAACGACTGACACCGGAGAATCGCTGCATCCATGTGTGTGTTGTGTGATTGTGGGATTGTGGATGGGAGCTGCAGGCGTCAGCACCTGGACATAGTTCGTGAGTGGTTTCAGGGCGACCTGCGGTGGATCACCGCAGCCACCCTGCAGGACTTCCTCAACAAGTCCACAGAGCTCGAAGTAAACAGTCCCAAGCAAGAGCCCCGCACCTCAACACACACACTGTGGGAATCCTTCCCTCTCCCCCTCCCTCTCCCTCTCTCTCTCCCTCTGTGTGTCTGTGTGGCCATCGCTGTGTGCAGGTGGTCCGACTAGCGGGTCTGGCGTCGTTTCGGCTGCTGTCATCTGCGATGCCGGCGGCGAGGATCGCCGATGTGGGGGCCATCTACCAGTCCATCAACACCACCGACAGGCTGGTCTTCCCAAGTGTCTTTGCCGACAGCACTGAAGCCGTCAAGCAAAAGGCCGGATGCAGCGGATGGGTCAGGTGGTAAGCCGAGCACAGACACACCACAGCCGCATCACATCAGAGAGGAGGTGGTGCAGCCGTCCATCCATCCATCCATCTGTGTGTGTGTGTGTGTGTGTGTTAGGTATCCCCGCAAGGGCGACGTGGGCATCATTGTGCACCAGTTCGACGAGCCCCCGGCTTACCTGATGAAGGTGAGGACACAAACAGACACAGACACACCAGGCAGACAAACCGAACACGCTGACACTGCCGTGTGTGGATGTATGTGTGTGTGAAGGTTGGCGACAACTACGTGGTGATCGGCAAGAACGGCGTGACGATGGAGGGCCGCAACCTAAACACCATCCTGCAGTGATGGGTGGAGGGATGGATGGATGGATGGCTGCTGACGAGTGCTGGTTGGTCTTTTTCACACACGGCCCTCCTGTGCATACTGCAGGATGTGATGATGTTTTTCCTTCCCATTCACCTATCGCTCTGTCATCGCTCGATTGCCCACACTGTCTGTCTGTGTGGCTGGCTGTCAACCTATCGCTCAGTGAGTGCGTGTGTGTGATGTGGTGTGTTGTGTGAGGGTGTGGCGGGCCTCGAGCCAGCATTGGTTTGCCTGGCTGTGTGTGCTTTCGACAATGCGACGGCTGCTGCTGACCTCTCCCGGGCCATGCCCGGTGAGACAGCGATCTCTGTCAGCCGAGACTGCGCCAATTGTGGTGTATCTGCCCATCGAGTGGATGGATGGATGGATGGAGAGCGGGGGCGCTTGTCAGTTGGAGTATCTCGTGTGTCGCTCAGAGACATATGAGAGAATGTCTGTGTCTCTGCCCGGCACCGCAGAGGGCCGAAACTGACAGTGCTGCACCGCACCTTCAGGCAGGCAGAGGAAACTCGATGTGGTCAACCGGTGTACATCAGATCTGATAATACAGCTTGCTCGCAACAGGGGGTTTTTGGTTTGTCAGCCACTGTGCCTGTGCCTGTGCCTGTCCGACGGACGATGCTGTGAGGTGCGAACGGGCGAGCGAGTGAGTGCATGACATGCTGTCAGCGAGTGTCTTGAAACGATGGATCATGTGTCTGTGTGTCCGTGACATGACAGTGACAATGACAGCGCATGATCATACGACTGACTGCACGCAGACTGAATGAAATGAACGAATGGACAAGAGCGAGCAATGGAGTGAGCGAGGGCATGTCCCGATGGGGCGAGGCGACAGATAGTGTGCGTGTCGACGCCGGTGGCTCTCTGTGTTGATGAATGACACACACAAAAGGCTCACTCGTGTACACTAGCTGGAATTAACTCATATATATGACATGGGGATACGGGCACACAACAATCATTCACCCCCTCCCCCCGTCTGGTCTGTCCACTGCTACGCTACACAAACTCTTCGCACCCTCCCCCCGACCCAACCCACTCCCTCCCTCCCCTCAACGTGCGCACGCTTAAACACACTCTCACAACCATACACTCATTCATCATGTCCCGGACGGACGATAAATATGCCCTCACACACACACACACACACACGTGATACTCGACCCTCTACACGACACGACAGGCCGGCAGACAAACACGTCCACCCCCCATCAGTCGATCGGACCCCATCCCCCGCCCCCCATCATCCCGACCATCACCGCCACGGCGGCGTGGTCCCCCTCCCAGCCATCCTCTGCCCCCCAACGCCGCCCCCTCCTCCAAACCCGCTCGTCACACTCGCCGCATCATGCGCAGCGGCCGCCAGCTGGGCCGCCTGCACCTGGGCCTGCTGCACCTGCTGCGCCTGGCCAAAATCCATCATGTAGCCCCCGTGCATCGCGTGTGGTGTCCCCGCACCGGCACCACCGGCGCCAGCACCAGCAACAGCAGCACCGGGCTGGCTCGCCATGGGCGTGTTGGACGACGGGGGGTAGTGGGCGGCGCGGGGGAAAGCCGCGGCCGCTGCTGCTGCTGCCGCTTGTGGCGGCCCCCTGGCGAATTGGCCCAGGTATGGGGGCGGGGCTGCCGGGGCCGCCTGGGGGGAGTAGCCCATGGCGGCGGCTGCGTGCATCTCGGCTGCCGAGTATGCCGCTGCTGCTGCTGCTGCGGATTGCATGTCGGTTGCTCCGTGGAGGGGCGGCATGCCTCCCGACTCGGGGCCGCCGTGGTGCAGGCGGTTGAGTATGAGCACGTGGGCGCTGTGGACGGACCGGAGAGGGCCTGATCGATGTAAAGAGAGACAGGGAGACAGGGAGATAGAGACATAGAGAGATGCGGAAAGGTGTGTGTAGTGGTTGTGGTTGTGGTTGTGCTGTTGTGCGCACCCGAGATGGTGACTCTTCGGTCGGTGCCGTTGACGAGATCATTCTTCTGCGATATCTGGACCTTGGCGCCGCTTGTCTGCGCACACCAGACGGGAGCTCACCAAATGAAAGGGTACAAACAGACGGCTTGTGCGTGGACAGGTACCGTGATGATGTCGTTGAGGACGGCGCCGCTCTTGCCGATGACGGAGCCCACGTTCGCATTTGGCACGGTCGTCGTGATCTCACAATGCTGCTGATACAAATCTGGGACGACCAACACACACGACGCAACGCACATACAAGCATCACGACCCACACCACACCACACCACACCACACACGCATAGTTTTCTCTCTGTCTGCTTGCCTGGAGGTATCATCCCGAACTGTGGCGGCAGCGCGGCCGCCCCGCTGAGCCCATGATAGGTCATCATCTGCTGATACTGATGCGGCGGCGAGTGTGGGCCCCCGTACCCACCCATCATATCGTGGCCGTGGCCGTGACCATGGCCGTGCCCATGGTGCCGGTCCGGCCCGCCCCACCTGTCCCCGCCCCTCTCGCCCCCCCTCTCGCCCCTGTCAGGCGGCCCATAGGTGACGTGCAGGTTCTCCTTGAGGTTGGCGTCTGACTGTATCTCGCGCAGCACCATCTCGGCCGCAGCCTGGATGCACCCGAAGGACCCGCTGATGTGACACACGCGCTCCGTCAACGACTCGTTCTCCAACCTGCACACAGGGATAACGTGGGCAGGCTGTGGTGAGGCTGGTTTGTGTGCCTTTGACCGACCTGTTGGAGACTTGTATTTTGGCGCCGCTGTCGTCCTGCATGCGTTTGATCTCGGCGCCGCCCTTGCCGATGATGCAGCTGACGGCGCTGTTGGGGACCACGACCTTGACCGTCAGCTTCGACTCGTCCGACGCTGAAGGGTCCTGACCCTGCGCAACGTCACGCACCTTGCTCTGATGATCACCATCACACATCACACACAACAGGCAGACGATAGGTGGATCACATCACTGAATGGATGAGCGGATGGTTGAGAGTGTACCAGTATGATGTTCATGGCTTTGATGATTTGTTCGATTTTGCCGCCCATGACGACCACTCGGTCCATGGTGTGTGGGAAGTAGTGGCTGCTCGGGCTCAGCTTCATGATCACACCCGTCGTCTCCTCGATCTCGGCTATCACAGCACCTGCATCACACACACAGACACAGACACACACACACACACACACACACAACAACAGCACAGCTCATGTGTGTGTATGCGCCCTTTGGTTCTCTGCCCTCCTCCCTCCGTCTGTCTGCCTGTCCCTCCCTCGCTCCCACCCTCCCTGCCCCCTCAGTGCCTCCTATACCACTCTTGCCGATGATAGATCCCGCCACGAGGTTGTTGACGAGCATCTTGAGGTAGCACGGCCCGTCGCTGAGTCCCTGCTTGCCAAACCTGTCCCTCCCATGCCCCAGCGAGGCCGACGAGGCCGACCCGCCGCCATCGACAGAGATCCTCCGCCGCTTGGCGGCGCTCTCCTCGCCGTTCTCGCCGTTGACTTCTGCTGCCTGCTGTGCGTGGGTGCCGTCCATCTCCTTGAATGTTGGCGGCTCCGATGACATGATCACGCCATGCACTCACTGACAGACGCACGAGCCACTCCTGATAGTCGCCGTGCCGTCTTGGCAGCTCGAGGGGAAGCAGAGACGCTAAGCCAGGAGAACACCGTTCGCCGCGAGTTAGTGCCCGACGGTCGTGAAAACGAACCCGGACGCCAGCGGCACTTCCACCGAATCGGGAGCAAACGAAAACGTGGTGTGGTAGAGCGTGGAGCAGGATCATTTTGACGTCGTACAGTCCAACTTCCCGTCTCGGCCCACTGTCTCGGCCGCGTCTCATTGCCCCCAGGAGTGCCTGCCCCACCCGTCAGTCCTTTCGCATTTGTCGACGGTTCACGGTCACTCTTTCTACTCTAACTATGAAGGTGGTATTCCTCTGCTTGTGGCTCCTCGGAGTCCTACTCCAGTGCAATGCCATCATTGCTCTCCAGCGTGCAGGCGCTCAAACTGGCAAGTTCTCCACGGCTGCCGTGCCCTTTCGCAACGCGTGCCTCTGTTCGCTTTGTTGCAGATACAGAGGAGGCCCTGCTGGCAGTCAACGGGTCGGACTCGAAGAAGACTGTGGTCGTCGTTGGCGGAGGTAATATGCGTGTCTCGCCAGCCCACCCCAGAGTGTATCGTTATTGATGGCCTTTCTGTCCAATCATAGGCAATGGCGGACACATGTTCGCGGGTTTGGCCGCCTCCAAAGGCCATGACGTGTACCTCCTGACCTCAACGCCCAGGAGTGCGGCTGAATGGCAAGAGGCCATAGCAAGCGGCGACCCTCTCGTCATCGAGTACGTCAATGAGCCTGGGAAGCAGGTCACAGGACGTCTCAAAGGAGCCACCCACGACGCTGCGATCATCAAGAAGGCAGATGTCATCATCTTTGGGGGGATGGAGGCAGCGTATCACCGGCAGAACCTGAAGAAAATGAAAGACTACTTCAAGCCGGGACAGATTGTTTTGATGGTGTCGGGAGGTTGGTTGGGCCGCTCGGAGGAGTATCTCGGCAAACACTATATGGGTGAGCAAACGCATCATGCACAAACGTACGAAGCCGATGCATTTCCCGCTCGCCTGCGTGAAATCAATGCAGAGGTCCTCTTCGGCGTGATGCAGTCACTTCCCTGGGCCGCACGTTTCGTGGGGCCCAGGGGAAAGCGTGTTGAGAACTACGGGGCTAAATCCGTTATGCCCTTGGGTCTGACTGGCCACGGAAAGCACTCCAGTGTCATCCAGCTGATGAGGAGCCTCACGGACATTGACTTCGTGTTGAGTCCCTCTCTGCTCGGTGGGCAGGTGGTGGGGAAATGGATGGATGGATGGATGGCTGCCCGCCTGCCCGCCCGCCGACTTCTGTCTGACTGCCTGCCTGAGTGACTGCCAAACAAGTGTCTGTCTGTCTGTCTGTTGCTAACCCCCCAGCGGTAACCCTCGAAGACCCCGCGCCGCGAATTCACCCAACATTGATGGTACTAGAGAAAAGCAGTGGCGGCGGCTCTTCTAAATTCGGCTGCCCCGGATGTTTGCATGTATGTTGTGCGTTGTCTGTTGTCTGTTGTATGTTGTCTCTTAGTGGGGACATTATCGACCCTTGAAGGAAAAGCTGATTGCAGCCAGTAAAGTCCTGGTAAGGCATAAGCACACGCACCCCTTTGGCTGAATGCACGCACTCGTGCAGCTGTTCTATCAAGGAGCTCGACCAGAGGCCGTGAAGGTCCAAGAAGGGATGGATGCGGAATGTATTAGATCAGCCACCCACACAAAACTGCAAACACAAGCTGGGGATAGCATGCAGACACGGAAAAGCTTGACACGTGTGTGTACAGGTTGCCCTTGCGCAGGCCATCACCCTTCGCTGTGAGGGTCATGTCGACCTCTCCAGCATCAAGTCCACACAGGACACTCTCTTGAAATGGTACGGCCATTCCCAGGTTAGTGATCCTTCGACCCTCCTCACTGTCTACCAAACCAATGAGCCCTACAATGGCTTGAGAACTCCCCACACCATCGTCAAAGAGGGGCCGAATAAAGGGAAGGCCAAGCTGGATTGGACTAGTCGATACGTCACCAGCGACGTCCCTCTCGGCGCCGTCGTGGCCAAAGGTACACCACATGTGTGCTCTCTCTGAAATGTGCTGTCTCACCCCTCTGTGTGTTTGTGTGTGAAGGTATTGGTGATCTCTTTGAGCAGCCCATGCCCGTGACCACCTTCCAGATCCTCTACTGGCAGCAGGTCATGGACAAGCAGTACGTGACTTCGAAACTCGGGACGCCAGACCTTGAGAGGGTGAAGAGCATTGATGACGTTCGTAACCTCTACCGCACTCTCATGACCTTCCGCGCCGATGGAAAAGACATAAAGGAAACCATGGTACTCGCAGCAAAGCACGTATGAAGGGGAAAGGAGGCAGGCAGACAGTGCCTCTCGGGGCGGGATCGGACTTTGTAGGCTCCACAAGCCATGAACATTCACTCGGTGAAGGAGTTTTTCGGCTTGACCAACTTCGCGTGCACCTACCTACTTCCCGTGCCTCCTCCTAAAGCTCCTCAATGAATGAATGAACGGCAACGAATGAAAGAGAAAGGCGAGTCCGTTACGTGATGCAACAGGCTGACGTCTGGCTGCCTGTCCGTCCGTCCGTCTGTCTGTCTGTCTGTCTGTGTGGGTGGGTGGCTCGCCAGTCAGTGGTGTGCTGCCAAGAGGCGTGTCAGATCGCCGCAGCGCGTGTTGGCGGATTTTGCCTGCATCCCGAGAACTCTGTCTTTCTCAAGGCTCTCTCCTCACTGACTGACTGACCTCTGCCTGGCCGTCTAGATCTATCTGTGCGCGTGTCTGCACGTACAGTGTATGGGTGCATGGATGGGCCGCCAGATGCGAAGAACAAATACGTCCACACCCCGAGACACACAGACAAAGAACGAACACCGCGGAATCAATTGGCAGATCGATCACGGACCGGATGGTTGGTTGGTTGGTTGGTTACGATAACGGGCCCTGGGAATGCCCCGGATGGATGCACAATTGCAAGGCAGGAGGACAGCTTCCGCGAGACCGGACGAAATAAAGACACTGAAAACCTATATAATCCGCACAATGAAGCTCTCTTTCTCCCCGCCGAGTCTCTTTTTCTTGCTGACCGTCCGGCATGGACTCCCTCAGCCGACGCCCAAGAGCACCTTCCTCTCCTTCATGAAGGACACGAACCTCACATGGTCCGACTTCGCCCCGGCAGAATACGCCTCGCATCTCTCTTCAGCCCCACAGCACGACGACAGGCACCGCAACTCTTTCGACTTGCTCCCCCCCGCCCCACTTCTACGAGCGCCCCGGACAGGCCATGCTGCCATGATGCCGCCTACGCCGGACGATGAGGAGCTCATACGCATCCGGCGCCGTGTGTCGGGTTCGCTGAGGTCGCCCATCCTCTCTCCGAGGCAGCAAGCTGAGGCGGGCTCCGGAGGCGCGGTGATCAAGGTGGACGACTACGGCGGCGACCCCGATGGCGTGGCTGACTCGACGGACGCCTTCGAGAAGGCCATTGCTGCGGCGCTGGAGCACTGGGACGGCACCTACTTGGCCGAGTGAGTTAGTGGGCGTCATAGTGTTTGGAGTGATTCGGGTGTCTGTGTGCGTATATATGCAGGGGCATCAAGAACCTGGGCGGCGTGGTGATCTCGCTTGACGGCGGCCGGTACATCGTGTCAAAATCGGTGGTCATCCCCCGGGGCTATGGCAACCTCCACATGCGCGACGGCACCATCAAGGCAACAGACACGTTCCCAGCCGAGTGCTATCTCGTTGCCACCGGCTCCGACGGATGCAGCGATGAGGAGGAGAGCTCCGCCGACTTCAACGAGCACCTGTCCTTCTCGAATTTGATGCTCGACGGCAGCAACGTCGCGTATGGCGTGCTGTGGCTCCACCACCTGATAGGTGGGGTGGTCGGGCCGAGCAACCTGCTGCTGGGGTTCCAGGAGAGAGGCGTCTACATACGGCTGGGCCACGAGGTGACTGGCAACAGCTTGGTGGCACATGTGGATATCACATCGACGCCTAGTGTGTCTGTGTGTGTGTGTGTGTGTGTGTGTGTTAGGTGATAGTTGAGTCGACGTGGATGGGGCAGTATCTGTTCTCCGACAAGCGGAAGGCCGAGAACCAGACGGCCACGGCGATACGCATCTCGGCCAACGACCATGTCGTGTCAAACGTGGTAATATTCTCCGCCAAGGTCGCAGTGGTGGACAGGTACGGAACGCACGCCGAACGAAGTGTACGCCATGGACGGATGGATGGATGGATGTGACTGATGGGTGTGCGGTGTGTCGACCATCTGTTGGTTGCCAGGGGTGCGGGGAACACCTTTGTGGGTCTGCACAGCTGGAACGGATCTGGGACCTGCCTCAGTGAGTGCAGCTAGCTCATCATGCTGTGATGCGATTGAGACAGTCAGTACCATGCAGGTGAGGTATCATTCATGTGTGTTGGTTGTGTCGTTGTGTCCCTCCAGTTTCACAAGGATACAACACGCGCATCCTGGGGAGGTAGGTCCATCCATCGATGGATGGCTCAGTCACCTCACCACCACCACCACTCACACACATGTCTGCCTGTGTGTCTGTGTGTCTGTGTGTCTGTGTGTGTGTGTTTGGTTTGGTGCAGCTACCCTGACTTCAACGACCTCATACTCATGAATCCCTACCACGTCACGGTGACCAACAGCTTCTTTCTCGGCGGGGCGCAGATCATTCTAAAGGCCGACAGAGCCGGGGAGGACGGCGACACGAGGAGAGCCCCCACCATCGAGGTGAGTAAATGAACAATGAATGAGGTCTGCCGCTTCCCTCGTCCATGCCATGATGCTCACCTCACCCCTGTGTGTGTGTGTGTGTGTGTGTGTGTGGTGACTGACAGGGGTTGGTCGTGAGGGCCAACACCTTCGACTTCAGCGACGAGAGCATCATGCTGGTGGAGGGCAACTTCGACAGCGTCGAGGACACCTATATCGGCGCCAATGTGGTCTCCAAAAACATGACGGCCGTCAGCACCTCGTCCGTGCGGCAGCTGCACCTCACCAATGCCACCAAATGGGACTTCGACTTCTCCGACGAGCTCTTGTTTCCGAGCATCCAGCGGGTGCAGTATTCGCTGGAGCTTGACGACGCGCAGCCGCTGGTGCGGCATGCGTCGCGGCCGGCCAAGGGCACACACGTGGTTGTCGAGACAGATGTGCCGGTGAGCGGCACCGTGACGGTGTGGGTGGACCAGAGCAAAATGTCACAGATGGGGGGGCTCTCGGCATGACGGGCTGACAGACTCGATGACGAGGGAGCGACGGAAGGGGCATTTGTCAAAGCAATCATGCGGTGTGTGGGTGTGCTCTGTGCGTGTGTGGGAGAGGGAATTCATATATCGACTAGAGAGCGGCTTTATTCAGGACTCCATTCACCCACGAGTGGCGCTGACGTGTTGATTGGGTCAGAGACAGACAGACAGACAGACAGTGACAGTGACAGTGACAGTGAGGTGTATGAGAATGTGAGACTCTTTATTAGGTCACGAACGCGCACAGGGCCATGCACATCACATCAATGCACACATGGATGGACGGAGGGACCGACGGGTGGACGCAAGGATGTTCTGATTAGCGACATGACACACACACAACATGACATGACACGACTGACTAAACAGCACAGCCAGGGCGGATATATTTGCCGGCCGGCTGACCACTGTCACGCACGCAACACGATGGATCGGATCGCATTGTGGTGGGATGCAGCTGGACTGTGTGTATGCGTATGCACGCTCCCACACACACACACACTCGCACGCCATGGCGTTACTAGCAGGAAGTGTGTGTGTCTGTCTGGGTGTGTGTGTCTGCTCATGGCCCTTCTCTCTCCGCCCCTCTGTCTGTCTGCCTGTAAAAAAGGGACATAGGCAAAAATCCCACACGAGGAATTCACATCGCTCGGTGGACGGATGGATGCGACACACACACACACACACAGAGAGAGAGAGAGACACAGCTGCGGTGATGCCACACAATGACGTGAGTGCCAAGAAGGTGACAAAAAGGCACTAAACCAATCGTCGAGGGATCGAGCAATCGATCCATCCATCCATGTGTGTTTGTGTATGTATGTGTATGTATGTGTTACTGTGTGTGTGTATCGGACTGGCTGACGCATGGAGACACGTACCCACGGCCATATGCACCTACTGACCTACTGACCTACCCGCCCGACTATTCTCCTCTGCTAGCGCCTCTCTCTGCCCTTCCCCGCACGCACGCAGCACCCTTGGAGCACGAACACCTTGGGGTCAGTCATCATTCCTCACCACCTGTCTGCCATATATGCCTATACCACGGTGATATACGTGACCCCAGCCCAATCTCCCAATCCCATGTCATGTGTGCCATAATCATATCCCCTCCGTATACACAGGATGGATGGCTAGACTAGACAGGTAGATAGCTAGACGTCATTCATCGCCACATCGACACATCGACATAGACAGACAGACAGACAGACAGACAGAGAGGGAGGGAGGGAGCAAGGGATACAGCTGGATGGACGGATGGCGGGGATGTCGGCCGAACTGCACGCGCAATAGTCAGTCGCATCACAGATGCGATGCGTGCCACATGAAGGGTAAAGACTTCACAAAAGCAGCGGGCCCACGGGCCCGCCCCCACGGTGCGCGCGTGTGCATAGGTATGCATGTGCATGTCGCCCGCCCCGCCCCGCCCCGCC